AACTGTCGTGTGTGTACATCGGGGCTGTTGCTGTTGCCGCTCCCACCAGTATGCGTGTGCCCGTGTATGCGAGCATCATCACTGCTGTGTGTGTCCGTGTTTGAAAAAAAAATTTTTTTACTTTTCTTCTCACTCAAGTATTAAAACAATATGGGAAACACCATGTTGCCATGCTAAGTTAATTCTAAAGTATGCTGCGTTCCTGATAAGCAGACGATCTGCCGAGTTGGCTTTCTGGAGGTCAACCACATTCAAACTAGACAAACGTGGTACATGGGTAGTCGCGTCATCCTTACATACGGAAAACTTGACAAACATGTAGAACCTCTTCAAGGAGTCTGGGGGTCTTTAGGTGGGCTTACTCGCCCACCTGCGAAACCGGCGGCTATTGGCTATTCAAAATCCAATCAGGGCGTTCAATAGAAATAACGCTTTATAAAGTAAATTGATAGACTTGAACGGCTACATCGCTCGTAAGAACCCCGAATCTGTCGTGCAGTCAGCTGAGATCAGCCTGCCCGTATCTGCTGGTCTGAAACTCTGTACAGAGACTGTGAGCTCGCAGGACTACCCGGGTGTCTTACACAATAACCAGGTGAAGACAGGAAAAAAGGTGGTAAGTTCATATTCCAATCTGCTCTGCTTATTACTTATTACTCAGCTCCGTGCACAGTTACAGGATATAGCAATGTTAGTTAATAATGGAACAGATTACTCTCCAGTAGCAATTAATAAATGCTTAAAAGCAAATTTGTCCTCCAATTTGGCATTTTTTAAACGACCCGGATTATAAACAGAAAGCAGCAAAACCGAATAGACCTGCCATCTCTTGGAGTATTTAGGAAAAGGTATCAGAAACTTCTATAATGCGAAACACTTGCTTGCAAAACATACGTTGTTTTCGAAGTCCGCTTGATACAGCTTCTCAATAAGCTCCAAGGTGATATACCTATGCAGTGGGAAGCCAGCGTCCAGCAGCAACTGGAGGAAGTCCCTCTTATCTTCCAAGAGGCTTATTTCCACAAATTTGTCCGGCACCATCTTCAAAAGGAGGCATAATTACTTCAAAGTTAACCTCTCCGCGGAAGATTCGACTGACAAAAAGAGTGAGCGGAATAGCGGACTTACGCGCCAGTCCACGCCAGCGAACATGTTCTCACTGAGAAAGTCTGTGCGATTCAGTTGGAGGGCCATGCGGAGCCTAAATTTCCAAATTTCATTCGCATTCACGCCTTCGAATAGCTCTGTAATGAAATTGAAGCACCTGAATACAAAACTTAAATGACCTGAATAACTTATCCATTCCGTTTGTTTTTAATAGCAGTACGGTATAGTGAGGGTAAACGAAAAATCAGGAATGAGTCAGGGTATCCACTGAATGAAATGCTGAAGCTGCGAAAATGCCAAACGGTTACAGCTAGGGGTTGTTCCAACGACTTCTATTTCTCTCTCTGACTCCAAAATAAACTCTCAGGACCGAACGCTAAATTGGATTAAATTGCATGAATTCACCCGTCCCTTCTCCTTGCTGTTCCTAATAAAGCTGTTGTAGGGAATGAGAACACTAAACTATAAGAATAGACATCCAACTCAGTGAGCCTTTTCCGATAGACGCTTATTTCTGGTTTTTAGTTACAACAGAAGCAGCATAATGTTGGTTTTTGTTCTGAAAAATAACTTGATTACTTAGTTTGAAGTCCTATTACTTGTGCTCTCTCACGCATGTGCCTGCTCACCTTCCTATAAGCATATTTTTCAGGGAATTAAAGTCACAACTTCTCACTATTGGTACTTTTTATTGATGGAGTTTCTCCCACAACTAGAAGGATGGTGCACCTTATCCGCGCGTTTTATTACTCACAAGACCATTTGCACGAAACCTTGAATGTTTATTAAAACTCATAATCGTGGAGCGCGATCTCACAAAGTATGTTTGACTAGGCGGCGATGTAATAGGGCAGTAAACCGAAGTACAGAGCGGATCTTTGTGGCAATGGAGGTATCGCATTGTATCCATAGGTGCTTTCGGAAGCTTAAGAAAATCCGGCGAGCAACACCGGTTCGGGAGACAATGCTATTCTTACTCTGTCCATTCGGTAGCAGCCTTGTTTCGAGATATTTAAAGCTGTCTATTTTTCATAGTTGATGGAAATTTAACCCTCGGTGTACCTTCTACTTGTCTGGGATCCAGCTCAAGAATAATTTGGTCTTCCCGGTATGTATGCGTGGACAAGCCAACCGACGTACCGATTTCATTCACCCATAAAATGCAGACTGTACATAACCAAAGCTTGCGGCTAGCAGAGCGATATCGTCGGCGTAGTCAAGGTCGGTCAGTTAGCGTCCGGTCTAAATTCCACACGACCAGAAAGTTGCAGGGCCTTTTCAAGAAACCAGTCAATAGCGTAGTTAACTAGAATGTGCGACAGGACGCAGCCTTGTCGAACGCCAGACCGGATACCGAACGATTAGGAGAGAGTGTTGTAGACCAGAGCTCGCTCGGTGGTGGAGGGATAGTAGGCCTTAATCATGACAATTATTTTGGTCGGTACTCCCTCTAGTTCCATTATTCGCTTCAGGATCTGACGATGGATGGGATAGGACGCAGTGGCGGAGTTGAAGAAGCAGACGGTCGTCGGTTGCTTGTAGCTAAGACGGAATTCAAGGACCCATGTCAGAGTGAATATCCGGTCCGCATATCCACGCTCAGTACCGAATCCGGCTTGGTTGGGTCACGTACAGACTAAAATCTTCTGAAAAGGACAGGAATGAAGACCTTCGCAGCAACGTCGATGAGGCTTATGTTGCGACAGTTCTCGCATTTAGTTTTATCTCTCTTTTTAAAGACAGGCATAAGGAAACCCGAACCCGAGTCATTCGGAACTACTTCGTCTCTCCGTGCTTGCTTGATCACCTCATGTAGCCAGGACACCAGAATGTCAGGACAGGACTCGCAGATTTCAGTGGGAATACCGTCCTCACCGGACGCCTTGCTGTTGCACGGCCTCTGTGTTGCAGGGGCAACTTCGTTTTGAGAAGGGAGGTTGTAAGACACTGCATAGGCTGGAGAGGGATGAAACTCCGCTGCGGAGGAGAAGGAGGGTATCATAGGTTGCTCATCAAAGTTGAGGAGGTGCACATAATGCTCACGCCAGTGATCTGCCTTGGCCGAGTTTTCAGCAATAAAGCCGTCATTTACATCGAGGACACAACCACAGAGTGTCGAGCCCTTGCCACTAATTTGGCGGATCATTTTGTAGTTTTCTAGTGCTATTAAAATGTTAGACCCGCTCCATGGAAGTCGTTGTTTTGGACCAATACCCCTGCCAGTCATATCTAACCGACTTTTCTGGCGGCTTTCGGAATGTTCCGGAGGAAGCATACTTTCGGGACCTGCCTCAGGCGGTCTGTTGAGACAGATGAAGGCTTATTCTACTGATCTAGTCAATGCGGCGCCGCTGAGTGCATCCCAGCATTGTCACAGCTGCCCCAAAGACGGCTCTCTTTAGTGATGGTCACCTTTTATCGCCTCCGCCATCGACTTGAGTCTTAAATTGGGCCGGGATTTCTGTGTTTAGGGCCTCGGTAGCGCTGGGTTGCCGGAGTTCTGCGATATCAATGCGGCTCGCAAGAGGCATTGTGGGCGCAGATTAGAGATGAAACTTCAGGCTTGTGCAAACGAGAACATGGTCAGACCGTAGCCAGTACCATTTTTGGCGATGCGCATCAACCTGCTATCGTGAACCCAGCTGTGGTACCTTGAAGCAACTTGAATATAATTGATCTGACTTGCAGCATGGCCATCGTTTGAATTCCAGGTCCGTAGATGTTTGTGTCGATCGAAACATATGTAATTTAGACAGAATGCATGCAGCACGCAGATAAGAAACTTTCAATCAATGCGTAACGACAGATTGGGTTCAGAAACATTCGGCAAGTTTAAAAAGACCTAAGTTACTATTAGATATGTACATTAAGGAATATATTCCTGCACGTTTTCTATAAAATATATTTAAATTAAGTGGGCCTTTGAAACTCAATGAAAAAGTCATACGACATAATTTGCCATTTTTCACAGCGAATGTTTTCGCAGGTCGCCGGAAGGGAACTCATTTAAAAACGACCTCCTGATCGAACGGAAATATCTAGAGATAGGGGTCACAGTAATTGGTTTTAGTACCCTATCTAAGTAATTTTTTCAAATAGCAAACACAATTTGGCGACAGATGTTTAATCTCGAAGCAGGTAGTCAGTGTGCAGTCCTATACATATATTCTTATCCGGTATTTAGGGTGCAGAATAATATTAAAAGGAAAATGCCTTGAAATTACCTGATTTCGTGAGAGATTTGACAATAAAAGCATCCAACTCAGCTCCCCTGCATTCGCCACTTGAGATGAATTCCAGCAGGTAGGCGTGGTTCAGAATGTTCTCTAGTAGTGCCACCTCACCTTCCTCCAAATCCCAAATGCCTCTAACTGCGTCTGCAATCCTGTGGGAAGAGTATTCGGGATAAAAAGGCCTCTGTTATTGGTCGTCTCGGGGAGGACTGATTTTTAAATGTTTTAAAAGAGAATGTCGCTGCCACTGTGCGATGCTAACTCTGGCATCAAATGAATCTTATAATTCAAGCACCGCATGCCGAGGAGAAATCGGTTACCAGTCACCATATTGTGGTCTACGCTTTCTTTGCGATTATTGAAGCTGACTTCATTAGTCTCCATTAGCCTTCACTAGCCTTCATTAGCTTTCTAATCCAGTCGTTTGATACTTCTTAGCTCTGATACTGTGGCCGCATTTGAGCCTAAAATAACCTTAAGTTACTTCCTATCCAACATTGGTTGCATTAATTAAAATGTCAAGCAGAGTGCCTATTCTGGTGCCCTAACTGCAACCCCAATTTTAGTTCTAGTGCCAACCTTGGTCCCAGCTGTAATTGCCCTGTTATTTACCGCAAAACAAATTGATCTTATTTCCGTGCACCGTCGGGAAGGGGTCACAAAGGCTATTATTAGTTTATTATCTTGTTTTGGTCCGTAGTCATCTGCTTGACTACTTTACATTACTGCATTCTTTAATCATGCCAAATATAGGACCCTAAGGGTGCGATGCACTAACTTTTTCAGGTTCATATTGAAACTGCTCCATCGTAATTTCTGATCCGGTGACGCCCTTTTCTTTTTCATCATGTCAACACATCGTTCGAGGACGTTGGCAAGGCCACCGGAGTCCTTCAAAGAAAAGCAAATCTTTTAATACAAAAAACATCTATGGACAGTGGAAATGAATGATAAAAAGGCTGAAGACTTATGTTATGATCACCAACTCGAACATTCTGGCCAAAGGCGTGCAGCGAGCATTGTAGAACATTCTGGCCTACGACTTACCACACTGTGATTGGTCGTTTCTCACGGAAATTTATCCATGCTTCGGGCCGCATGCGTGAGCACACCTCAAGTACAAATCGATGCAAGAGGGCAAATTGTATGTTTGCCCGCATGTAACTACCTGGCTTATGACGCTTAAGGAGCCAGACGTACCGTACATTGATTCAATCTTTCTCGACCCTGATCCCATGGAGTTTTTGGGCCAAACGCGTGAGAACAACTCGATGCACCAGCGCAAACTGCTGGATTCTCCGGGTGACTGCGGGTATCTGCCAGGTGGCGTGGCCTTTTGCGTGCGCGTGGTCACGTAGTATTTTCGTCTGCGGCCGAACGTCCTTTGAGATTCTCGCTTTCCTTATAACATTCATCAACGGATTGTCTGAGACTTGATTTAGGAACCCAACCAATTGTACCTTAAAATGTTCAGCCTGTAGTTACTTACGTCGCACTAATATCCAGGCACTTAGCAGCGGCATTGGATTGCACTCAGTGCCCAGATGCTATCATGTTAACTGCTTTGTCCAGCTCCAAGATAAAGCCAAGTGTGAGTAGAAGCAGGTGTTACTCAGTCTACCACATGCATGCCCTAGGTTTCATTATGCATATATAGCCCTGAGAAAAAAAGGCTCACTGAAACAGTTTTCTTGGAATACTGAAGCTTCGGAAAGGTAATTCGATGTACCACCTTCAACACGTTACCTGCGGTTAATTGAACAGAATTAGTGATGTTGTGACGTGGCGTGACCTGTTTATAGGCATCGAGTTGATCTAATTTTTTTCTGTTGCCTCGGCCTCTTGCAGAATATTTGCGGTTTTCATCTACTGTGTGAGTTATGAGCCAATAGCTCGAAATTTCGTTGGCTCGTCCCTTACTGCCTTGTGTTTGAGCGTAGGATGACGCTCCACCTGCGGCTGTGTACATATGACTCGCTGATGACGGCAAGTGAACTAGACACGTTCATTAATCCTTGTCTTTGCTGGCAATGTTAATCTGCCTACATTGTGCGGCTGCTGGCGGTGCTCGAGAATGAGCCCCAGGGCAGAATCAAGCAAGTTAGTTCCATAAGAGCTCAGTAAATGTGTTCATAAACAAATGCCAATATGCCCGATCTAAACCGGTAAGATAACGAGCCCGTGCCCCAATTGTTCGAGTGTTGGACTCCTGATCAACAGGTCAATGATCATAGCCTAGGCTCGTGCGACACCTAGGGTTGGGTTCCACAGGCGGTCAATGACCATTCTATTCTCCGTAGTGAGACAATGTCTGAGCAGGAAAATCAGGCACGTGGGAAGCGCCGGACCCAGCAACAACTCTGACGACAGTAAGCATAACTGTCACGTAATTATGAAGCCCGCATCCAACACAGACAATGAAATCATGGCAACTTATGACTCGAAAGCGGACTGCCAAGACATCACCGCACCAATTACGACTCCCAGCGGTGGTTACGGGAGCTGAATGTCTGTTATCTTTGACATCAAATTTCATTTACTTCGATATATGGTGGTTTTACCTCCTTTGCGGGGAAGTCCTCTCTGGTTGATATATTGATCCCCGTGGGGTCAATAAGATTGTAGAATTGATTACCGTGCAGCTTAATCGAAAGATATTTCAGTCGCCCTAGGATCTCGGTTCTTGAACAAGATTCCTTCTGGAGACCTGCATAAACAAACTGTGTCAAAATGGCACGGGCATATGATGGGCGCATCTCCGACACCGCGACCACCGCAATCTTTTTCCCGTGTGACCATTAGGATATTGAACAACCGCGATGGCCTCCTCCTGACATGATCAAAACAATTTCAGCAGCAGGACATCCGACTTACATATTCCCTTCGCCCTCCCTCCCCACAGGCGACAGTTTTTCTCCTTAAAATCCCACAAATGTTAAAACTAAACCTATGAATGATGCCTAAGGGAGTTTTTTTACTGTCTGCCCCCCTACCGCAGTTCCATTACTGGCAACGCCAAATGTTCTGCACCATAGCTATGTACAAAGAGGGAGTTCAAAGGCATTAACCTATATTTCCGTAATAAAACTGGACTGAACTGAAGTAGAATTCATTTTTCCTACTTGTGTTGGGTTCTTTTTACAAATTGAAGTACATTTTATAAAACACCTGCACCAGACTATCCTCTCTAAAACTCATTTGGTTGGAAAATACATCTTCCGTAAAGGTTCGAGTGATGAAGTGAAATCGAAAAGGGCAGGGGAGTTCAGGATGGCCATTTCTGGCTTATAAATCGCCATCAGCCAGTCATCCCCAAGCTTAGGCGGCCCCCAACATTCGAACCCGCGACCTTTGGTTATTAATTGCAGCACTTACATTTCACCACGGGCCTGCGTTCTTGTCGGTGCCGATCGGGAATACGATTGATGTAGGGCACTTGCCAATTAGTTTGGGGATCATTTTCGTCCCACTGTGCCTTGGAGTCTATATTTCAGTTTCGAAAATACTTTTCTGCATTTCTGAATAACTTAAGGCCCCACCGGCCTTTACACGTGCAGTCACGGTTTCCAAATGAAATAACGTAAAGATATTGGCTGAGAAAAAAACACGCATTTCTATACGCGATGAAAAAGAGGTCACATAAGTCGCATACATTTTGACAGTGAATGAGAATCATGTCATATAACTTTAAGATAACATAACTAAGTTGAGTGATGCGATGTGTTATAGATCTTAAGATCTGAAGAAATCGCACAATTATAAACCGTTTCAAGTACAAGATGCGTAAAAGAAAGCCTGCTTTGATGCGTGCTTTCTATAAAATAAAGTTGAACCTATAAGAGCATAAAAACTCCATGTGAAAAATGCATAGCTTTTAAGTCGTTTTTCACACGGTTATACGTATGCAGATGGTTAGAAGGAAGCTCGTCCAAAATGTCACATCCTGATTTGTCTTAAGTATCTTGAGATTAGGCAGCAAATTAAGCACTATCGCAAACCTACCTATTCGTTCCTTGATGATCATAAGCATGAAAATTATGAGTTCATTTGTCCATACTCCTAGCCGCGAACCGGCCGCCGGCGGGACTTGGAAACGAGCCTCCAGGCAAAAAGTGACGATCGTTAGCGATTGTTGAGTGTTCATTAACGAATATTACAAGTAACGACTTGATGGCTCGGAAGATAATATCACTAATGCTTACTCCCCATATGCATTAAAATGAACCAAGAATTTTGGTTAGGGGACCGCAGGACAATCAGCAGTTCTCACCATCTCTGTAATTTCAAGAGGGTTATACTCTGCAGCTCACAAACAATGTTCTGCTCTTGTTCAGAAAAACCCTGCATTTTAGAAAACTGTGCAACCACTTCAAAGCTTTCAATAGGGACCAATGGCTTGAGTTTGGGTTTATCTAGAATGGTTTTGATAGGCTGCCAGCTGAAAGAGATCGGTTAGGCTTCGGAACGAACTCAGACTTAAATATTTATGTAGTTTTAAAAAACTTCGCAGAAAGTCCAGAAGTTGAATAAATATGGTTTTTTAAACTAGAGACCCTGAGGAAACTTCCGTCTTACCGAAATAACAACAAACGGGATGTTTTGTTTAAGGGCGTTTTTGATTTGTTGTAAGTGTTCTTTGTCTCCGCCAACAAGAATGCCACAGACAGGAGACATCGCGGCTTGAAAGAGTAAAAGAGGAAAAAAGTTAAGCGCTCATTTAGTATCTATCATCACATTTGTTGCCATATTGGCATGCAGATATTGTAAGTCAAAATTACTTAGGGTGATTTGGCAATTTTTGCTTTTTCCATAGACTCTTCCTTTGGTAAAACGTAACCAGTCGACTATCGTTACTGAACATGTCTGCAGTGAGGGGGGGGTACACGGCTGGAGAATTGCGCGTGTAATAGTTGATGGGAGCAGTGCACTTTCGCAGCATCTACCGCACACTCACCCCCCACCACTGGGCTGATCGCGTCTGAGGTCGCATCTACCGCACCTATGGTCCTAGGCCACGCGGCCCTGTCACGCCCTTTCTCGTATCGGCCTAAAAACCGACTGCTGACGACGTGGCGGGTTCCTCTGCTCTTGTCACAGC